GACTTTCTTGCCGCGTAATTTGTACTTGAACAAATTCGTACACCTACATCAATGTAAATTCCAGCTCAGATAACAACTGAACCCAGCTGACCATTCACAATGCCGTACATTCGTCGATTCGTTGCTTGAACCACACAAATCAGTGGATGGCGGTTTTTGGGAACAAAGTTTTCTACAGCGCTGAAGCACATTTATCACTTGATTGTATGTAAATAAGCAACACTGTTGCATTTGGAATATCGAAAGCTCTCAAATAACTGAAGACAGGCCATAATACAAAACTGAAGATTTTCTGTCTCGTTCGGAGGTGTAATTGGGCTTTAGTGCATTGAAAGTAACAACGGATCGTTTTATGGTAATCGATTTTTTTTGGCCCGCAATTAAAGCACACAACCTGAGCAATATGTGGTTTCAACAAGTTGGAGCCGCATGTTCCACGACACAAGCGAATAGCGCTTTGTTGATAGGAAAGAAATTTCTTAGCCGAATAAGTTCTCTTCTTGGCAGTGTGAATTAGCCACCGAAACAGTGCGATTCGACACTGTTGGACTTTTATTTCTAATGCAACGCGAAAGATTATGTTAATACGATTAAACCAACCGCTCGATTTGTGCCGAAAATTGTTCGGAAATTACGTCAAACGGAACGAAGTAAGCAAAAATTGTAGGATTTTGTGTTTCACATATAATGAAAAGGGTGGAGTTATTATTTTAAATCCATTTCAATTACGAAACCGCCAAATGGATAACCCGTTCCAGAATCAAATTTTGAAAGAAGATTTTGAGAGAATATTTTTTTTATCATAATTTTTATCTAATTTTTTTAGAGAAAGTTTTTTTAAATGCATCAAATGTTCTCTTTCTTTTTTATTTTTATTGTTTATTTTTAAGGATATTTCTTTATATTAATTTTTTTTTATGAATAAGTTAAAATCAATTGTTTAAAATAACATTTTGAGCGAAAAATTGTTTCTCTCCTTTAATTATCTCAGTATATTTTATAATTAAATGCATGGTATTTCTTGGAGGAAGTTTTGTTAGATTTATTTATACTTGAATTTTTCTCTAACTATTAATTTTTTTGTATTATTTTAACTCGATTTTATTTAAATATGAAATTTTCCATAACTCTTGTTAATCTAAAGATATTTAAGAATAATTTTGTAAAGAATATAATCGTAAATAAATTTATATTTAATGTTTTAGCTTTTTTAGTTTTTTCTTTAATATTAAGGACCTCCCTATTTATTTTCACAACAATTTTTGGAGAATTTTTTCCATGAATAATTTTTTTAAATTCAACTCTTAATTATTTTTTTATAAGGTATATTTTATGGTTTTTTTTTAGTTGAAGTTTTATATATTATTTTAAATTTACCTTTGTTATGATATTTATTTAATTTTTTTTAAATTTATTTTTAAGTATGTCTAGGGATTAATCTTTTAAACATTATTTTGTCAAACTTTAAATTCTTTTTTATTTTTAAGTATAGCTAAGGATAAAGTTTTTAAGACTGTTTTGTTAAATTAATTTTATTTTATTTAATTTACATTTGAAATTTTCTTCTTAAATTTTTTTTAATTAATGTGTAATATTTTAAGTTTTCTCTCTTTTTTAATTTTTTTTTTTTGAATTTTGTTTTATTTTATTAATCACTTTTAAGTAAAGGAATTCATTCCCTTTTCGTTATTTTGCTTAATTTATTTAATTTTATTTTATTTACATATGCAACTTGCTCATTATTAATTAATTCATTTATGTGAACGGCTTAAGACATAAATTACATTTTGGTAAATGATATTAAGTTGTAAATTTTCTCTGTATTTTTTATTATTTCACGGGATAAATTTTTAGAGGAAGTTTTGTTGTGCTGGCTAAAATTTTCCCTTTATTTTATTTTTTTTTTTTTAATTTTTAAAGCTATCAAAGAATGACTTTTTAAGAAAATTTTGGTAGATAAATTTAAGTTTAATGTTTTCGTTTTAGTATTTTTTTTTTAATTTTATGAATGTCTAAGGATATAATTTTGAAAGCACATTTTTAGAGAAGATTTTTTCTAATTCAGAATTTCCTCATTATTAAGATATTTCATGGTATTTGTTTAAGCGGAAGTTTTGTTAGACTAATGTATATTTTAAATTTTCTCTTTGTTATTTTTTTTTAATTTTTTTTTATTTTTTTTTTAATTTTTTTTTTTTTAATTTTTGTTTTATTTTATTTTTGATTTTTAAGTAAAAGAAATAATTTTTTTTTAATATTTTGCTAAATTAATTTGATTTGATTTTATTTACATATGCAATCTACTCATAATGAATTAATTTATTTATAGATAAAAGAACATTTTGGTAAAATTTTCGCTAATTTTTTTCCTTATTATGGATATTTTATAATAATTTTTTTAGGGAAGATATTTTAAGATATTTCAAATTTCATTTTGCTTTTTAATTGTTTTTTTTTTTTTAATTTGTAACGAATATCTAAGAATGTTTTTTTTAAGAACATTTGGTAGATAAATTTATATTTAGTAATTTAATATAAAGCAAAAAAAAAAACTTTTTTTTAAGTTCTATGAACTTTTAAAGAATTTTTTGATAGAGCTTGTTCATTATTAACGATATTTCTTAATAAATATTTCAGCGGAAATTTTTTAAATTAATTTCTTATTGTAAAATTCTCTTCATTTTTTTTTTTTTGAATTATTAGAGATATTTAAGGATTAATTTTTTAAAGCATATTTTGTAATTTAAAATAATTTTTATTTTATTTACATATGGAATTTTGCAGTTATATGTGTAGTTAAAAATAAAATGAGTTTCCATAAAAAATATTTAAAATTTTCTCTGAAATTTTTCATGCTAATTTTTTAAGCAAAGTTTTGTTAACTTAATTTGCATTCTAAATTTTCTCTTTATTATTTTGTTTTATTCTATTTTTCATTTTTAAGAAAAGGATTAAGTTTTTGGAATATTTTTTTGTGAAATAAATTTAATTTCGTTTATTTAAAAGTGAAAATTTCTGCTTATTTAATTTTTTAATTTGTTTTAATTTAATGATATATTGATAAATGATTTTATATACAAAAATTTCTCTGATATTTTTTTAATTATTAAATACATTCAGCATTTCATTTTTTACTTTTTTGAGATAAATTTTTTTTTTAATTTGATGTTTTCCTCTTATTTTTTATAAATATTGTATATAAGGTGACAATTTTTAAAGGACATTTTGAAATATTCTTTTGCATTCATTAATTTTCAAAGGATATTTAATGTATTTCGCATTAAACACAAACCAATTTAAGTACTATTAGTAGGAAATTGCCACTGCAAGTCCTTGTGCATTTCTGTCACTTTCTGTATGCAACACTTGACACTTTCTCTAATAGATTTGTGTGGTCGCATTGAGGCATTCGCGTGGTAACCGCAACTTCATTATGTATGTGTCAAGTGGTAATCGATTATATAATTACACTTTTAATGGTATAATATATTCTTCGAACTTTCTGCTAGCACTTACATACATACAAACAGACATACATACATATGTGCATATAAGTTGTAATGCATTTATTTACTATATATGGGTACTTTTTTAACTGAACTAATTCGAAGAATCTAATTTCTGTATATGTACTTGGTGAGAATAGCAGCTTCAAGGAAGAAACATTATTAAAAGCTACATATATAACGGTCTAAGATAACTTTTTGTGAAAATTTGAATTGTCAAAAGTCGCAAAAAAATTCCAAAAAGTTATTTAGCTTTTTTTAAAAAATAAAAAGTTTTAATTGCGGCTCGTAAAAGAAGAAAATAAGTTTTGTGGAACGAATTTTAAGCGAAAAGTAAATTTGTATCAGCGACAATCAAAAATTTAGTTTGAATATTTAAAGAACTCAACGAAATTTCGACTTCGCTTAACAGACCCGAACTTATTTTAGAGACATCGACATCGGAGAGTGTACTAAAATAGAAATTTATAAAAACAAGAAAAAAAATTAACTTTTTATAAATATTTTTATATAAATTCCTTTACATCGACCATCCACCCTACACATACACGCATATTACATACCTTGCATGCTCCCATCGCCACCGTTAACACCGCGTTGATGCTAACTAACATAAATTGTCCTGCGCGACGTGGCCCTACGAAGCTGCGCCACTTACAATTTCTAACGTTTAACAAATTACATTACAAAAGTTAGCGCCAACTAACTTTTCATACGGCAACCGTGGCAGAGATGCCAACAATATCAAGCATACATAAACAAGAGCAGCAGGAACAACAACAACAGTAGTGCATGCAATTACTGCATTAATGCACAACGGTTGATATGCCGCGCATACATACATATGTATGTATATAGGTATGTATGTATGTATTTATATATGTATATAAGTCTAATAATCACAGCCACAGTTACTCAGCTTCAAACTAGTTTACACGTAATTAAATTTTATAATCTGCTATGTGTACATATATTGTTCTTGTTGTTGGTTTAAGTTCTTGCTTTTTGACTGCTATGCTTAGCTAGTTGTTGTTGTTTTTGTTTTGTTATAACTATTTTACATATTTTATATTATTCTGTTAGGTATTTACGTGTTTGTTGTTGTTTTTTAGCTTTTTTTTTGGTAAAACCGAAAATAAAAAAAATAAAAAATACCGAAATTAATTATAAATGTTTTGAAATGTGTCCCAAAATATCCTAGCGAATTTTTAATAGCGTGTAATTAGGCAATTAAGCTATTAACTACGTATTACAGCCCACAAATCCTGTGCAACAACAAATGTGCATGCATTGTACAGTTATGTATTTCTGAGCATAAAAGTTGTTTATAGAAAATGTCATTTATATACATGTTAGTATGTATGTAAATATTTAAAATTTATTTGTTTTTTTTTATCATATCTAAATGTGTCACCGCAATTAATTATAGCCATTTATTTGCCACAAACAATTTGTTGTTGTTGTTGCTATTTTCCATTTATGCGCCCAACTTACCTCAATTTAGCATCCACAATTCGCTTAAAACTGCATAACAGCGCTGGCTGGTTGCTTTGTCGTTGTTGTTGTTTTTGATGCACACTTAAATTATTTTTGACGTTTGCACAAATTTTTAATTATTTTTACACTTACATGTATTTATTTTTAACACTGATAAAAGTTTCGATTTTTTTTAGATTATTTTTATTTTTATTTTTTTTTTTATTTTTTAGATTATATATTACATTTTAATTATTTTACACAAATAAACACTTTATGGCGCACATTTTACATATATATTTTTGCACTTTTATATAATTTATAATGAAGATGTTCGATTATTTCTGCATTAAATTTTCTTTAGAATACCGAATTATGAAGTAAACACTGACGCCTATTGGTATGCTACAACTTTTTTTTTAGTATTTTTCTTTTCTTTTTTTTTTTTTTGTGTGTTAACGCAAAAGATGTTGCCTTGCCTGTGCAACAAAATGCATATTTATGTGCATATGTACATATGTAGTTTTATATATACAAACGCAGATGTAACGAGCATTCGTGTGTAAGAATTCATTGTTATAATTTTTTTTTGTATTTGTTTTTTTTTTTTTTTTTTTTTTTTTTTTTTTTTTTTTTGCTTATTTCTTTTCCTTTGTTGCTTTCACTTCACTAAACTTGAGTTGGTGTGAATTTCGATTTTTGTTGACCTTGAATTGAGTGCTCGATTTGTATGCGGCGATTTCGTTTTCTACACGCAAACTTTTTGGTATGCTTTCAAGCACATAGTCGGCGTGTGTTTGTATTAGTTTTTTATTTTTTTTATTTTACTACTTTTAGGACATACATACACTTATTTATATATAAATTTCGCACTATTATATGGCATTCGAATACAGCAGCGCACTTTTCAATGCATTACTTGTGTATATGTGTGTGTACGTGTGTGTTGAATTTTCGAATTTTTTTTTTATTTATTTTTTTTTTCATTTTTTTTGTTTGTCGTCAGTTGTGCTCTTTCACTTTTCCACAACTGTACGTGTGCATAGATTTTTTTAAAAATACTTTTAAACTATTTTTAGGCGCATAACCTTACCGTTAAGCTATTTCTAGATGCACTGTGCTTTTATGAAAAGCAATGAACTGTCACCTCATCCATGCTGTTTATCCATATTTAACTATTTACGTACACAAATATATGCTTACATGCACTCACACATGCCCACGCTTTCAACACTTGTGGTTTGACCGGCAGCTGTACGCAATATATCGTCACATCAGTTGATTTTCGTTTTAAGGGGGACAGCGTCTATTCAATTACATATATATGTATGTTTGTAGATGTGTTAATTTGTATGTAAATATGTTTGTAGATACGTCATAAGTGTTTTAAAAAGAGTACACGAGCAGCGCATACATATGTATATGTGTGCATAGGTAGATTAAAGACCGTCAACACCGTCGCGTGTCAACCGAATCGGTATCGATGGCAACATCAACACCACCACCAATACCATTCAAAAACAAGCTCACATACTCGATACCAACACCAATGCTGTCGCCACCGCTACCACTATCACCACCATGAACGCCGCCAACCGCATTACTCAAATACTAGCGTGCTCTACGCGTGTCCAACTTATACATATTTATACATATGTATGTATGTTGGTATTTTTTCGCTATCTTTCGCCGCTCCAAATTCAAAAATCTGCACGCTCTGCACTTCTTTCTTGCCTCAATTGTTGCCGCAAAAAAAGAATTTCACTTCCAGCTCTCAGCGGCTACTGGCTGCTGCAAATGCTGTTGCTGCCACTTTTAGCTGTTTTGTTTTAGTTTATATTTTCGCTCACTTATTCTTTTACATGTGCTTTGCTCTGCTTTACACGGCGCTTTATGCTCTTGCTCTTCTTAATACTTGAATATATGTATTTTTGGAGATTGGATGCTGCTGTGCTGCTAATGCTGATGCTCTTCAACTCCGGCTGCTGTTTGCTTGCTCTGTCGTTTTGGTCGGTGTTTTGATTTGAATTTTTCTTAGCAATGCTCTCTTTGTGTTCGTACTTTTCGCTTACTTTTTTCAGTTTTTATTTATTTTATTTTTATTTTTTTGCTTTCTCTTATAATATTCTTCTTGTTGCACGCTGTGTTAGCACTTTTGAGAAAGAAAAAATATTGTATTGTGTGCTTTTGAATTTACTGGTGTTGTATTAAGGTTTTCCGAACACTTTTGGAAATTGCATTTATTTGTTGATTTATTTTAAAAAAATTTAGGTAATATTTTATTTAATAATTTTTGGAAATTTCTATGCTTTGCACTTCGGTTTAACATGCAGTTGCTTATGTGTGCTTATACAATTGTATTTTGTATGGCGAATTTTTATATAAATATTTGCCTTCACTACATATGTACATTTCTACATACACATACTAAATACATATATTTATTTTACATATTCCGGCTTGTAAAGTTAAAGTAGCGCTAAATGCACAAATATTTCAATAATTTTTTTATTTTGCGATTTTTCTGCTAATTTTTAAATAAAATTCACTTTTGGCTGTATCGAAGCTCAAAATTATTTATTTGGCCAATTTACGTAGCATTTTTACCAACTTGCTTCTGCTTCTTTTTTAATTACACCGCAATGAAACACTATTTATTTATAGTTTATAACCTTTGATTTGAGCGCCTAACAGTAGGCTTTAAAAATCTTAGCTATACATATTATACATATTATATATGATTTAAATGAACGAATTATGATAGACGAAAAGCGGCTTATATCAAATATTTGCACACACACAAATACACATACAACCAGAACTTTAGATGCATGAAAATTGATTATTTACACGTAGTCCCAGCCGACTTGCCATGCACATGTGTTGGCGACAGGTTCGTAGTGGAATACAGCATCTGCTTGTAATTAGGTTATGTTTTTATATACAAAATTATATGTGCATGCATACATACATACATAAGTATGTTTTTTGTTAGTTAATTAAGTCACTAGACCCGAATTTCTAATTTATATACACATACATACAAACGCTAAGATGTTTTTTTTTTTATATATATATTCTCACTTACGCACTTCTGACACTAGCACTTTACGCCTTTGCGATGTTGTTCTATATGTGCCTGTATGTAAATTCACTTGCCCCATACATATACATTCTATTGTACGCCGTAAAGTATGCTATGTTTTTTATGCATATTCGCCTGTATGTACGTAAATATGTACATGTATGCATATAAGGTAATTGCTTAATTGAACACTTTTTTTATCTACACAATAGCCTAATGGAACTAACCAAAGCACAGATTGCTTGCTGGTCCTTTTCCTTTTTAATTAGTACGTTAGCACTTTACACAACTTCGTTTAGTTTTTCACACTTCAGCTGAGATGCTGGCACATTATTGTAATGGAACAGCGCAGGAGTTGAATCAGCTGTATCTGAAGTATATAATTTATGTTAAGAAAACTTGTTTAAGAAAACTTTTTCATTTCGATTTACTTTTCATTTGCCTTGTATGTATTTTCTTATTTCTTTAGTTATTCCACATTTGTCTTCTTTTTTTCTATTATAGATTATCCGTGGTAATATAAATTTTAACGGCACTACACTGGAGATTTTCACGTTTTCTAGTTGCGTTCACTAGACCACACAGACTCTGACTACTGACTTTAGCCAGCGCGAATTGTCGTCGTCATCGCGTTGTTCTCTTTTTCTTTTTTACTTGGCTGCTTGGAGACTCTAAATCAGGCAAGATTTTCGGTTATTAACGAAGGAATGTCCATATACATACATACATAGATGTATGTATATTTTTAGTTGTATAGTTTGTATACTTTTATTTGAAAATTCATCCAATCATCATTTACCATTTGATTTGTTCTAACGTCCAAGTGACATTCAAAAAAAAAAAAAGAATATTTTTCGAACCTTAAGCCATTCTCAGATAACCTAACTTAGCTTAGCGCTATCGGCAACACACGCACGCACGCACACACATGCATATGCACTTGGCGCAAGCAACTCACATTCCGCACAGCACATCCGGCGCAAAGCAAAGCACAACGCGAAATCATCTGTGTCCCCACGCACAATACGTTCGTACTTGTCACTGAAGCGACTGGTGGTCCACGTTATTCTCGTAGCACAGCCTCTCCAATTTTGAGGAGAAGAAGAGCATTATATGCGCGGAGATTTCATTTCCAGTGTGTCTTCCAGTCACTTTTACATATTATCCTTGCGCAAATGGTGGTAAATGAGTAGAGGAAAAGGAATGTGTAATGACAATTACTATTTTGACACTTCCTCTGATGCTGTGTAGTGCTGCAACGGAGTTATACATTGTATTAGTCAAGGAGGTAATGGCTTCGATGAATTTACTTATATTTTTAATTTGGTAAATGCGTTAAAAGTGCTCGCGCGTCCATAAAATTGTATTGTTTAATTTATAAGCGCAAAATTATTGTTAATGCCATGTAATTAATATGTGTGTATGTACATGCAATCCTTGCAATCCGTTCGGCTAGAATATAAAATTTGCAGGAAACGGAAACGCCTAGCTATGCCTGCAGCGCCATAATTAAATTGGTGTTAAGATTTGGTGGTGTTTAAATGTGTTTTTGTAAAGAATATTACTTCTTTCGTATTTTAATCAACGTATAACTACATAAATTCCGATTTTTCACTTTTAAATACAGTTAACAAACATTAATTGCAGGAAACGACTTGAAACATTCTAATTTGACTGCTGGCAATGTCAATGAGTGCGACGTTACCACTTCGGTCCCTCTGAAGATATTCATCCAAATACTTAACGAAACTTTGCGAAGTCGATAATTAAATTTTTCCAGTAAAAATCAGATAACGTATTTGTAAGCCGATATGTCATTTTTAAAGTTGGGATTTTCTGTAAAGCTCTGAGTCGACGATTAGTTAACATTTCGGCAGGAAGGGTAGTAGTTACTTAAGAATTTATAAAAGGTCAATCAAAGACGAAGCGCGCATTTGAGAATAGCATAGGAGTACATGCTTTGAGAAGATACCAACAACATTATTGCGAAACAACAAAAATTTCAGTTACTTAATACGACAAACTTGTTTAAG